CCTCACATACACACTCATAGCTCTCCCTCACTCAGTCAGTCTCGCTGTAACCACGCTTGTGTTGACATCAGCATTGTAGTTGCAAAAATATTACATTTCCGTGAATGTATTATATCAAGCACAGTATGAATAGAATATCACTAATATAACAGTATTTTAACCGAAAACTCTTAAAAAAACGAGTAACATATCTTGAACATCGGAAGGTTAGGTAAAGTCTTTTGTTTTCATGTAGTTTATCCTAATTTACATTGAAATACATTATGTTTCAGCAAAACTACTATTTATTTCTGTGAATATGGAAATGTAATATTTCTGCTGAAATGACGTATGTATTACAGTGGAAAGTGACGAAAGCAATGACTTTTGCTTTCTTTCGTTCAAAAGATGTTATCGTAATTGCTTTCCGAATGGTTTTCAGTTAAAAAACTGTTGTATTACAATAATATTCTATCCTAATTCATTTGTGATGCAACAGTTTATTTAACTGAAAACCATTCGAAAAGAGATTACGGTAACATCTTTTGAACGAAAGAAAGCGAAAGTCATTGTTTTCGTCACGATTTTATCGCACTTTCCACTGTAATATGTACTTCATTTGAGCAAAAATATTACATTTCCGTGAATGTATTATATCAAGCACAGTATGAATAGAATATCATTGTAATATAACAGTATTTTAACCGAAAACTATTAAAAAAACGAGTAACATCTCTTGAACATCGGAAGGTTAGGTAAAGTGTTTTATTTTCGTCATGTATTTTATCCTATTTTACATTGAAATACATCACGTTTCAGCAAAACTACTATTTATTTCTGAGAATATATTCATTCAGGTGCAGTTTAGGTAAAATATACATGTGATGTAACATTTTTTAACTGAAAACGATTCGAAAAATACGTACCCTCTAGCCCTGTTCAAGGAGAAGACTGGGAAGAGCTGTTTGGTGCTTAAGACGATGACAAGGAAAATATTTTTGATGGATTTTAATGAAAATATTCAGAAATATGGTATCTTAGTATTTATTCAAGTGAATTAGGATATAATATTATTGTAATACAACAGTAATGACGATGTGGAGGCGGCGGAGGAATAGAGTGGGGAGGAGTGGTGAGTCGGTGACTGGCGGGAGCAGGGACGAGTGGAGATGCCAGCCAGTACATTATGGGTGTACAGTATTAATTGTTTTTATATCTCTTTTTGCATTTTACTATTAAATACTGTACATTAGGTTTCAACAAAACTACTATTTATTTCTGAGAATATGGAAATGTAATATTTTTGCTGAAATGACGTACGTATTACAGTGGAAAGTGGGATAAAATTGTGACGAAAGCAATGACTTTCGCTTTCTTTCTTTCAAAAGATGTTACCGTAATCGCTTTTCAAATGGTTTTCAGTTAAAAAACTGTTATTACAATAATATTCTATCCTAATTCATTTGTGATGCAACAGTTTATTTAACTGAAAACCATTCGAAAAGCGATTACAGTAAAATCTTTTGAACAACGAAAGAAAGTGAAAGTCATTGTTTTCGTCATGATTTTATCCCACTTTCCACTGTAGTATGTACGTCATTTCAGCCAAAATATTACATTTCCATATTTATTTCTGAGAATATATTCATTCAGTCACAGTTAAGGTAAAATATACTTGTGATGTAATGTTTTAATGAAAATACGGTATCGTAGTTTTCTTTTGTTTCAAATTTAATTCACAAAGATTGATGTTTCCAATGTAATGAACAAAAATTTATGTACAGTATCTATAAATAAACTTTAAAAAATGAATACTTTGTTTTACATAGTCCTGTGCATACCATATCATGCATTTGGCTACTTTGGGCTTGCTATGATGACGCAAGAGATCTGCCCTGGCAACTGTACCGACACTCGCAGCTGGTGGTGCGTTGGTGCGTCGTTTCCATTGTTTGCTGGTAGTTACTGGTAAATATTTTTCAACGTAACGAAACTCTTACCCGTTTGAGGTCGACCCCCAATTTTTTGCCAAATAATTTGGTCTTAAAAACTCGAACTACACACAGGTATATACGGTAAATAAGGACATGGGGGGGCCAGGGGTTTTTTAGGGGGGGGGGGGCAGCAAAAATACGCGGATTCTTAACATTCACGGGTATCTCTGTTACCTAACCCCCGCATATGTTAAGGGCCGACTGTATATAATATTTTCTTTATTTCTAAGCCATATTAGAGTACCGGCATTGTAGTGATTTTCCCATCATTTTTATTGTATCATTGCATATAATAATGACAACATGCGACCTCACAGGCCACTTTGTCCTTGGTTTTCTCTCTTCACAGTGATTCAAGCTATTGCTTGACCTAATGGCAAGTGAGAAAGTGCATAAAAAAATTTTTATCACAAAAGCGAATTAATGTTCAGTAAATTAACACTAAACAAGGGTTACCTATGTAACGAAAATTTCTTCATATATTTGTTAGTGTCAGAAATATATACAGAGGGGTATATATTTTTTTTTTATTTATTTATTTTTTTTTTTTTATTCCAGGGGTTAGCCCACCCGGGCACAGGTCACTGACCCACATTGGGGCCTGGGAGGCAAAGATGTAATAATAATAATAATAATTCATAATACCTGTATATAAAATTTACAATAAAAAATAAAAAATAAAAAATAATAATGATAATTATAATAAGACTTTACTAATAATAATTATAATAATAATAAAGAACTATAAAGAAATACAAAAATGAAAAAAAAATCAAGAGTGAGGAACAATATATGTATGTTGTGTTGTCAACAGTAAGAGAAAGAATTAAGACCCTGCAATTGTGTGTAAATGAGGCAGAAAGTCAGATCAGCAACCTGGGACTTGGTCACAAATTTTTGGGCGCCATATAGCAGCAGGGTTTACCATTAGACAACACATTATGCTTCCAATATCTTCCCAGCCGGTAGTACCTTCCTGTGGTAGCTGCCTACTACCTACTACCGATATACTACAGTATACAGTATGTGTAATGACATGTATCAATACAACATGTAGCGAGGTCCCCCCTGTACTGTATTGTGTTTTTGTTTCACATGAAGAGAGAGTATGCAAATTAGGGTTTGAGAGTGAACCTTGAGTAGTTTTTCTTTTTTTGCCAATATTGTTATAGTGCGTTTTTTCTCAGCTAAGAAGAGATGCCCTGCCCCCCTCCTCAAGAGTTACACCTGATTGGCTGTTTCAAATCTGTCCGATTTTGTCCTCAAGTAATGATGTTTTTCTAAATGAGTTTATTTATAATGACCATTTTTGACGAGAAAGATATTTAGCTAAATTACATAAAGATACATACATTCATTATTTGAAACATGAGCAAGTAGGAAGTTTATTATAAATCTTAGACCTGAATTAACTGTTATACTCTTGTAACAAATTCACGATTTCGGAGGACACATTTAATATATACTTATTTTTACCCAAAATAAGGCATACTAAGACAAACTATGTATAAGTAAAACTACATTATGCAAAAACAAAAATTTTAAAAGATCAGAATCACACTGAAATATTACACAGCCCCTGAAAATTGGTGGACGAGCGTGACAGACTTGGCTGCCTGAGCGAACAGCCGTCAGCAGAGGCGGGAAAGTAACTGTGAACAACTGCATATTTCAATTTGATTCTAATCTTTTAAAATGTTGGTTTTTGCATAATGTAGTATTACTGATAAGTAATTAATCTTAGTATGTCTTATTGTGGGTAAAAATAAGTACTGTACAGTGATCTCTCGGTTAACGAGCGCCTCGGTTAACGAATTCCTTACAAATTTTTCCCAACATGTTTTCGCCTGCATTTGGCTGCCCACCAGCTGTAGTATTAGTCCGCCAATACAGCAATCAGTTTTAGGGCTTAAATTCCTTACCATTTAAGTAAATATCAAGAAGGTTGTACTATTCAATAATTTTATAAGTTTTATATTAAATTTTTTAGCAATTTTAACAATTATTGAACATATTGAAGTAGAGGAAGCTAGTTTTTTGCCCGCCAAACACCCACTCAACACACCAAGCTTGGCGTCAGTTTGTTTACCAGTTCAGAGGAAGGAACATCTTGTTTGAGACTCTTCAACATAAAAGGTTTTTTCTGTGTTTCCAGTCAAATTATTGGTCATTTTGAAATATATTTTACATATTGACAATATATAATGCAGTGCAGTGTTGATTTAAAGAAAATAATCTTGAATTACACCAAGTGAACTAAAATTTTATGGGTGAAATGGTAGCATGGGGTGACTTCTCTTCCACCCCAATGCCTTCTCTTCTCCCTTCTCCTCCACCCCCATTCTAATTCCCATCATCATCAACCAGGAGCCTTCTACATGCACACCTCAAAGTAAGTGTACTTTACTGCATTTATTTTTAGTTTGTCTGTAATTTTCGGTGAGCTGGAACCAATTACCCAAAAACCCATTGAAACAATGGGTTCGGTTAACGAGCAACCTTCTGGAATGAATTGTGCTCGTTAACCAAGGGACCACTGTATATATTAAATGTGTCCTCTGAAAGCGTGAATTTATGACCAGAGTTTAACAGTTCATTCATGTATAATATTTCTGATAAACTTCCAATGTGTTCATGTTTGAAATAATTTATGTATGTATCTATATACTGTAATTCAGCTAAATATCTTTCTTGTCAGAAACGGTCATCCTAACTATTTTGAATAAACTCGTTTAAAAATACATCATAACTTCAGGACGAAATCAGGCATGTTTGCAACAGCCACTCAACTGTAACTTTTGAGGAGGGGGCAGGGCATCTTTTTTCAGCTGAGAAAAATGCACTATAGTGTTGTTTTTGGGTATAAACCATACTTGAATACTGTATTTTTTTAAATCTTTCACTTATATGAAACAACCAACCTCTAAGAGTCGGCCATCCTTTCCAATGTGAAATAATAATATTAGCAATTTTAATGTAATACTAAACTAATTAAATATAATTTTCTAAAATAAATCTCTTTTGCAGACTGGGGAGTTCTTCGCATGATACTTGAAAGAGTCCCTCAAGTGCTTCTGAACAAGGCTCTTATTCTTTCCCGGGATGGCAATGATATTGACTACTTTGCAGCTGCTCTCTGTGCTCTTGTTAGTGTCATTTGACTTTTATTATACAGGCATCCCTTGCTATATGAACCATCATAAAATGAATACTGTATTATATTTTTACGCCTCTTTTCTCACTATACGAAAGCTATTCTCACTTATACGAATATGGTCCCTGTAGGTAATGTACCAAATATATATTTCATTAATTATTTAATGTGTTAGCTACTAAATTACAGTACCATATAAAATTGAGGGAACTGAACTCTATATTTCCCATATGTTATGTTATTCAATATACAAATATTCACTTTAAAAATGGTTTTCAAGGAAATGTAATCCATTCGTGTAGAAAGGGATACCTGTACTTTTTTGTTAACTAAATTATTGTGATAATTATGTATAGAAAATTGAATAGATTTTACAGTGTTGTAAAAAGCTAATTGAATATATATATATATATATATATATATATATATATATATATATATATATATATATATATATATATATATATATATATATATATATATATATATATATATATATATATATATATATATATATATATATATATATATATATATATATATATATATATATATATATATATATATATATATAAATATATATATATATACACACATACAGTGACCTCGTAACGAATGCCTCGGTTAATCAATTTAGGTTAACGAACTGCCTTCCATAAGGATCTTCAATTGGTTAACGAACAAAAATTCGATTAGCGAATTTCTTACGAGCAACCTCAACATGTTTTCGCTTGCACTGACCGGGCAACCAGCTTTAGTATCAGTTCGCCAATACATTAATCGGTTCTAGGGCTTAAATTCCTTACTATTTTAGTAAATATCAAGAAGTTTATACTATTCAATAATTTTAAAAGTTTATTATTCAATTTTTTAGTCATTTTAATGATTATTGAACATAATTGAAGGTAAAGTGACTAGTTTAATGCGCGGCATCCAGCCTCTTAACACAGCAAACAGGCGTTAGTCTCTCTCTGTTTTCACTGGAGGTAACATCTTGCTTGAGACTCTCTTCAACTAAACACTTTTTTTCTGTGTTTCCAAGCAAATTATTGGTCATTTTGAAATATATTTTACATATTGACAATATAGAATGCAGTGCAGTGTTGATTTAAAGAAAATAATCTTGAATTACACCAAGAGAGCTAAAATTTTATGGGTGAAATGGTGCCATGGGGTGACTTCTCTTCCACCCCAATGCCTTCTCTTCTTCCTTCTCCTCCACCCCCATTCTAAATCCCATCATCATCATCATCATCATCATCATCCAGGAGCCTTCTACAAACACACCTCAAAGTAAGTGTACTTTACTGCATTTTTTTTTACTTTATGTAATTTTCGGTGAGCTGGAACCAATTACCCAAAAAACCCATTGAAAAAATGGTTTCGGTTAACGGCTTACGGTTAAAGCAACCTGCTGGAGCAGTTGAGTTCGTTAACCGGGTCACTGTATATATATATATATATATATATATATATATATATATATATATATATATATAAGCCTGATTTTTGACCAAGAAATCATTAATTTATGATATTCTCGTATAGTTCAGCTATTTTTGAGGTAATGGAACAACAAAACCTTAATAAAAACACTCCGTCCTGTATGAGGTCAACGTGTGAAACACCATTAAGGCAAATTGTTTACCATTTATTATTACACACTTTAACTGAAGCGAGTAGTTTCAAAAAAATTGTATATTTCCATTCAGTATTTATTTAAGTCAATTAGGAGGGAATATTGTTGTAATACAACAGTTTTTAACTAAACCATTGGCGATTACGGTAACATCTTTTGCAACAAAGTCATTGTTTTCGTCACGATTTTATCCACTTTCCACTGTAATACCACTGTAATTTCAGCAAAATATTACATTTCAGTGAATGTATTATATCAAGCACAGTATGAATAGATTATCATTGTAATATAACAGTATTTTAACCAAAAAACTAGTAAAAAAACGAATAACATCTCAAAACATCGGGCTTAGGTAAAGTCTTTTGTTTTCGTCATGTATTTTATCCTATTTTACATTGAAATACATCACGTTTCAACAAAACTACTATTTATTTCAGAAATATTCATTCAGGTGCAGTATAGGTAAAATATCGTGTGATGTAATAGGTTTTTTAACTGAAAACAATTCTAAAACAACGTACCCTCTAGCCCTGTTCAAGGAGGACTGGGACTGTTTAGTGCTGCAGGCGATGACAAGAAAATGATTTGATGATTTTAATGAGAAATATTCAGAAATATATATATATATATATATATATATATATATATATATATATATATATATATATATATATATATATATATATATATATATATATATATATATAAATCCACAATCCGTGGATAAGATAAATCTGATAAAATCTGCGGAAAATGGAAACATGGAATACCTTAGCTGATCTTTATTCAAGACATCTTCAGAGGCAACTGGCCTAAAGCTAAGGTCTCGTTGTCATTTTCCGCAGATTTTGACAATATATATATATATATATATATATATATATATATATATATATATATATATATATATATATATATATATATATATATATATAGCAGAGTTCTCTATAACTATAACGTGTTTTGATAACGCTAATTTGCTCTAACGATTTATGAATTCAGACAATATTTGTATAACGCGACGCTTGTTTTGCTATACGCTTTTTTTACTACTATTCTCCAATTTTGTGGTATTAACTGAATATGGTAAAGAAGAATATCTCCAAAAAAGCATTCTGATGATAGAATTTCCCGGTGATTATCGTAAAGAAAGGATATAACACTTGAAGAGAAGCTTGATGTTATCAACCTCAAAATCACCCTTCTCCCCCAAGTTACATTCATATTTTTTCGGTAAAGTGCTAAATTTACTGTATGATTTCATTATTAGATATGAATGTAACATTTATTTAGACTGTGCTATCCTTTGTGTTAGGCTAACTTTTTTTTCGATTTAAGTAATCTAACCTATTTTCTCCATAAGCCCTGTTATTTCTATTACGCGATTTTCTATAACCACGATAATTACAAAGAACACAATTATAAGCGTTATAGCAGAAATATTACTATAATATATATATATATACTATATATATATATATATATATATATATATATATATATATATATATATATATATATATATATATATATATATATATATATATATATATATATATATATATATATATATATATATATATATATATATATATATATATATATATATATATATATATATATATATATATATATATATATATATATATATATATATATATATATATATATACCCATAGAACCATTACTTATAGATTTGAAAAAAAAAAAAAAAAAAAAATAAGTTAGACCCAAATCAATCAACCCCTCACTACAGGTCCCACAGGTTTCCCGCGTAAGTCCATTCCGGCAGTCGTAAGTCCGACATAGATATAATTTTTTTATTTAGCTCATAAATTCGCCTGAAATTATCCGGCCAAATAAAAATCTACAATGAAATACAGTACTGTAATAGTAATGAATAATGATGAATGGATACAGTATACAGTGAAAGTAATAACTAATAAGGAATGGTTTTTAGGTGATTAGCACTTTACCTTTTAATGTAGTCAGCTGAATGCACATGGGGCCCCCATAATTTTCTAATTATATACATGGAGACTACATTAACTGGAAACGTTTCGTATAGAAAATGCGGTGTCATTTGAAAAAAAAAAAAAAAAAAAAAATTTTTATTAAAAATCTGCGGCGGTCGTAGTTCCGACGTCGTAAGTCCCGATTAAGTCCACGTGAATGTAAGTTAAAGGTGTGTGTGTGAAAGAGTATATAGTATATATATATATATATATATATATATATATATATATATTTATATATATATATATATATATATATATATATATATATATAGTATATATATATATATATATATATATATATATATATATATATATATATATATATATATATACAGTCAACCCTCACTTTACGGGTCCTTACATTCCGCTTCCCGCTTACGTGCCCTGCCAGAACCTGCAAATGCTCTCACATTCTCAAGGTGCTGCAAAATTTTACGGGTGAAGTATTTTTATTTAGTCATGGGAAATATAATTTACATTGCAAATTCTTAAATTTGCGATCATTTTGAATATAACATCATATTTTGCATAGCAGATGTTTAGAGTAAATATGTTATTTTTGTGCAAATATATGATATTTATATTCAAAATATTTGGGTTTACAAGGAATCCAATGTCAATTATTATCCTAATTTAGTTTGATTATTTATTAAAAATAGTGGTTTTCCCAAAAATTTCTGAGGAAGAGCCAGCAGTGTAGTGTGAGAAGAGGGGAGGGAGTTGAGTCCATTATTTGAATGACATTAACTTGGCGACTGTATTTCATTTCTTTAAGTATTAATTGTGTGCATGTACCATCATAAAAATTAAGATGTTATTTTACTACCACATAGTTATGTGTCAGAAAAAGTGAGTTTGGGGCGTTTGTATTGATTAATCCCATATTTCTGTTTCAAGCAGTTTCATAACAGTCCCTCTGGGTTTATTGACGTTAAGTCCCATATATATATATATATATATATATATATATATATATATATATATATATATATATATATATATATATATATATATATATATATATATATATATATATATATATATATATATATATATATATATATATATAGCATACATACATAGCCTACATACATACATACATACATGTACACAGCTACATACATACATACATACAACACAGCCTACATACATACATACACATACATACAGATTTACGCGTCAATTGAACCCACAGGGTACATGAAAGTGAAAACCTTAAGTGAACCACAGAAACATATGGGATTAATTCCAATAGAGACTGGGCGACCCCCAAACTCCAATTTTTCCGACACAATACCTATGTTGTGGTAAAAATAACATCTAAATTTTATGATGGTATGCTTACACAATTAATATTTGAGAGAAATACAGTCGCCAGGTTAATGTCCATTCAAATAATGGACTCAAATCCCCCCACCTCTTCCCAGCTCACTGGCCCCTACCTCTCTGAGAAATGATTGGGTGAAAACACTAGATTTTAACGCTTAGTAATAAATAATACCTCCGACTAAAGTTAGGATAATATAATTGACATTTCTGATTCCTTGCAGGTCAGGGAATATTTTGAATGTAACTTCATATATTTTGCACAAAATATAAAATACTTGCTTTGTGGTAAACCAAATTATTACATTAGATCTAAAAATTTGTATGTTTATTGCAAATCCATGATGTTTATATTCAAAATTGATCATCATATTGTAAGAATTCCAGCAATGTAAATTATATTCTGGTCGAGTAATTTGTATGAATTTTATGAGCTAAAACAAATATCATCAGTTAAAAAAAAAAAATATTCTTCACGACACTATCTGTCAATCAAAGTACCCCAACTTGCCTCCCCCCCTCCTCACACTCGCGCCAGTTGGGTCGGTGGGTCCCAACCCTCCCACCCCACCCCCCACCTTCCCTCCCTACCAGAGAAATGTTGGGTGAAAAAACTAGATTTTAACTTTTAGTAGTAAATAATACCTCAGACTAGAGTTAGGATAATATAATTGACATTTCTGGATTCCTTGCAGGTCAGGGAATATTTTTAATGTAAAATTCATATTTTTTGTACAAAAGATAAAATATTTGCTTTGTGTAAACCAAATTATTACATTAGATCTAAAATTTGTATGTCTAATGCAAAATCCATGATGTTTATATTCAAAATGATCATCATATTGTAAGAATTCCAGCAATGTAAATTATATTCTGGCCGGGTAATTTGTATGAATTTTATGATCTAAAACATATATCTTCAGTAAATAAACAAAGAAATATTCTTCAAGGACACTATCAAAATACTCTGCCCTAGCTGGGTCCCTCCCTCCCTCCTCCCACCTTCCCTCCCTACCAGAGAAGCTTTGGGAGAAAATAGTATATTTACATTTAGTAATAAATAGTCACTCAGACTAAAGTTAGCATAATATAATTGACATTTCTGGATTCCTTGCAGGTCAGGGAATATTTTGAATGTAAACTTCATATATTTTGCACAAAAGATAAAATATTTGCTTTGTGTAAACCAAATTATTACATAAGATCTAAAATTTGTATGTCTAATGCAAAATCCATGATGTTTATATTCAAAATGATGATCATATTGTAAGAATTCCAGCAATGGAAATTATATTCTGGCCGGGTAATTTGTATGAATTTTATGAGCTAAATAAAAAAAAAAAATTATACTTCACCGCGTATATGAGTAGATGCACCGCGGAAAGTGAAAGTCCGGTTCTGGCAAGGTACCGTGTAAATGAGAAATCGCGGAAAGTGAAACCGTGTAAAACGGGGTAATACTGTACAGTGACCCCTCGTTTAACGAACTCAATCCGTTCCAGAAGGTCGTTCGTTAACCGAAAAGTTCGTTAACCGAAACCATTGTTTCAATGGGTTTTGGGTAATTGGTTCCAGCTCCCCGAAAATTTCCTAAATTCAACAAAAATGGTAGAAAAGCTCTCTACTTTGAGGTGTTTATGTAGAAGGCTCCTGGATGATGATGATGATGTGCATTTGAAGTGGGAGGTGGAGGAGAAGGGAGAAGAGAAGGAAGTGGAGGTGGAGGAGAAGCATTTTACTGTTTCTTGGAAGGTGAGTCACCTTCCATGAAAATGTCAGGAACCTCTGGACTGACAGATTCTCCACCATGAACATCCTCTCTCCTTCTTGAAGTGGAAGGCTGAGGGATAGCATCTTGTTCCATCTGCCTTTTACTGAAGAAAGTGTCAATTGTGGTCTGTGGGGCACCTGTCCTCCTCACCATTAACTTATGTTTAAAGAAGGAGACCACTGAGTCCTCAACATGACACAAAGTTAGTTCAGTTTTTTCCACTTCTGGGTGCTTTGAAGCCAGTTCCCTGAACTTCTCCCAGTAGTAAATCACATCTTTCAACTGTTTAGCTGACATATGGTCATCACTTTCAATTTCCTCCTCACCACTGTCAGCCTCTACCTGTAACATCTCATCCAGTTGCTTCAAGTCATCAGGAGTAAGTTCCTCCTCATGAGACATCACAAGCTCTTCCACATCCGCCTCCTCCACTTCAAGGCCCAATGACTGACCAATGGACACAATCTTCTTGTCCAACTCTGTTTCTTCCTCAAATCCCTCAAAATCATGGTCTACTGATGGCCACAGTGCTTTTCTTTGAAGAACTGAGGGATCTACTGGAGACTTCTTGCCATGATGACACAATCAATTTTACAGCCTCCAGGACGTTGAATTGTGTCGTCCAGAACTGTTTCAGTGTTAGTTCAGGATCATTGGAAGTTGCCTGATGACACCTCCTAAACATTTTCTTCATGTACAACTTCTTGAAGTTGCTGATTACATTCTGGTCCATTGGGTGTATGATTGATGTAGTGTTTGGAGGCAAAAACAACACTTTCACAAAGTCAAATTGATACTCCAAATTGCTGGCAAGGTCAGGGTCATGACCAGGAGCATTATCCATGAGGAGAAGAACCTTTAAAGGGAGTTAATTGGTGGTTAGGTAGCTCTTGACAGAAGGGCAAAACACATCAACAGCCCATTCATTAAAGAGCTGTCTTGTCACCCATGCCTTACGGTTGGACTTCCAATAAACTCCAAGCTTTGTTCTTACCACTTTCTGTTGCTTGAACACCCTGAGTTTTTCAGAGTGGTAGACAAGCTTTTATTTGTATAGTCTTATCATTCATATTGGTATTTTTCCATATTAGAAACATTTAAGTGTGTATTGTTTGTTTTGAGTTTATTTTCTGTCATTTATTTTTATCATTATTGCCAAGCGAAATAATGTCTAGGAATCTTACCACCAATCAACCCCATTGTTACGAGACTACTTCGGATTCATTCTTAAGTTCACTCTAATATTGCAGCACTGCCACATAACCGTAAATGTCATCACAATGGGTAAAGGAACTCTTTGAGGCAACTGTACCTACACACCACCATTAAGATATTGTATTCAACTAGAGTATGTCTTTGTTTCTTAAAATTCTATTTTGATTTTCTCTTAATGATTTTAAGATTGGTGCATAAAGTGAAATATATTTATGTATTTTTAATCTTTGCTCTTTTGGCAGGTTACAGACAAGTCTCTAGGCCTTCCTGAGTCACTTCATAACACACCGACCAAATTCACTCGGTCAGACTTTCAGAGTTATGTATTTCCAGTCCTGGCAACTCTTGCATCCTACCACATGCACTTAGATCCTGTGATTCAGCAAAAGGTAAGCGTATATGAGTAAGCCCTGGCGATCTAATGTTTATATTAATATCTTATCTAAGCTCTGTTGCAACCTCTTTTCTAGCCAATTGTTATTTTTTTAACAGAAAATTTTAGGTATTTCATTAGGTAAGAACTGATATCTGTCTAGCAAGTGTTGTTTTGAATATTCTATTTCATGCAAATTTATGACTTAATAATATCCCAGTAACCCACTAAATCTACAGGGTTGAATCCCAGTTATCTATGAATTATCTATGCTATCCAGCTATAACCAGGTCCTTGAGAAGGGATATTTTGAAATTGAGATCACCACTCCAGGATGCAAGCAATGATTAGTTATATCACCATTATGTTTGTACACTGTGCCTGTTCTTGACTTGGTCAAATGCTGTCATTCTGGACCACTCCTCACTTTTGTGTGCTGTAGTTGTCTTTCTGCTATCAGTATCTCCTAACTGTGGAGCTAAGTGCTTTCACTTCAGGTTTTTAACACGAGGTGAAACTCATTGAGTTGTAAGAGACAGGGTTCTCCTTGCTCATCGTCATCTAATCATTACAGTAATATCTTCGTTAGCTGGAATCGCTCAAACCCGGAACTTTCTGATCACCGGAATTGAAATTTTCTCGGAAAATCGTTCCCAAAGCTGGAGTTTTCCGTAAAATTACGGCTTTGGGAAAGATTTTCTGAGGGGCACATTTACCGGAAAATTTTCCCGATACCCAGAAAATTCCGGGGAAGGGGGAGTTTTTTCCGGGTTTCAGAGATGAAAATCTGGCGCATTTTCTGGAAATTCCTAGAAAAATTTTTCTATGCCCGGAAAATTCTGGAAAATTCTGGGGATGGGGGATATTTTTCCGGGTTCAAGAGATGATGTAATGGGCAATTTCTGGAACTTCTGTGAACATGTTTCCTTTACCCGGAAAATTCCGGGATGAGGGATATTTTTCCTGGTTCGAGAGAAGATGTAATGGGTAATTTCTGGAACTTACGAGAGCCATTTTCCGTTACCCGGAAAATTCCAGGGACGAGGGACTTTTTCCTGGCTTTGAGAGAGTCGTCTTGTTACCCGGAAATCTCTCATTCCTGGAAGTGCTCTGCATTAATTGTTCCGGCTAATGGAGATATCACTGTACACTACTTCTGTGTTGGATTTATTTTCAGGCTTTGCCTCTAAACTTTGATGGCAGGAGATAGTCTTTTATCAATTTCTGCAGTGCCGCAGTCTTCTAGAGTACATTTTTTGAGTCATATTGCTCTTACAAAATATAAGGGTACAGTACTATTGTAAGATTGATGGTTTAGAGCTATCAAGAATTCACAAGCAGATTATATTCATTATTTGGGAAGCATTTCCAAAGTTTTATTAGAATTCTAAATCTTTAGTGTGTTTCAATTTTTTTTCTCTCAAATACAATGACTTCTTGGTAATATAATTAGTTCGTACAAGTGTGCAATGGCTTGTCTTATGAAGATTACTTTTGCCCCTAACCTTACACTGAAAACTCTTGGGACCCAGTCCATGTCATATTTTCTATAAAAGACCTGCTCACACAATATAGATAGATTAGTCTTTCTTGAACTGATATCAAGGTTTTATATGACACTGGGACACTAATCAAGTCAGGGTAGGAACAGGTTAACATGAAAGGAACATTACTTTTAGCTTTTTCATCAAATAGGGTTTCAGAGCTTAATGTTCTCAAAAGGGGTAACACGGCTTATTACTTTTGAACCTTCACTGTTGAGAATCAGTCCCTGTCCAAGTCTTATAAAAAAAACTAGGCTCCCCAAGTTTCACTGTTGATTCAGTTTTAGGCATGGAAACTGGATGAAGAGTCTCATCACTTTGTTTTGGTGTATTCACAAATACATTCAATTAAGAGGCAAGTTTAAGAAACAATCTCAACTTTGGCATCAGGCTCCTCTTTGTTGTCTTTTATTTATAGAGGCTGCTGTTGAGCCTATAGACATGCTATCTCTAGTTTTCATTGCTTGTTCATGAGTCACCTGATTCATGCTCACTATTAGATTGGATGTTAGGGTAAGTCCTTCATTTTAGATTTTTCCCATGCAACACAAACTATTAAGGGATTTTCTCCTATAGTCTGGTGTCTTGCAATGTGGTAAGTGCTTACTTCAAGGAGATACCAGGATAGGGATCACAAGTTCCTGGTTGTGAACTAAGGCTCCTCCCTTTTTATCATGTCACTCATCATGTTTCTGTGTTGCCATCTGTTAATCATTGTGATGTTGTCAACCAGTCTCAGTCTCAATGTTTGTTGCTCATAAACATCTTAATCTGTAACATAGTTGCTGTCCTCATGATAGGAGTTGATTTTTCTTGCTCCTTCCAGTATCCTTGACAGTATATCTGTGTAAGACAAACTTATCCAGGACAAGGGACAGTGTCTGCTTTCACATATTGTATAATACAGGGTATGACCAAAATGACTGGCACTGATGTTGTCTTTTTGTTATGGTCTCCATCTTTGAGCAGAGGCAAGTGACTGGAAAGAGGCACACTGCTTATTATACTATAACTTATATCCTTCCACCTTTAAAACGAGAAACGCGTAAATGGAATAACAGAACATATGAAATTAATTGAAATAGAGACTGGGCCGACGCCCAAACTCCACTTCTTCCGACACAATACCTACGTTGTAGTAAAAATAACATCTTAATTTTATGATGGTATGCACACACCATTAATATTTAAGAGAAATACAGTCGCCATGTTAATGTCCATTCAAATAATGGACTCAATCCCCCCCCCCCTTCCCATGCTCGCTGGCTCCTCCCTCTCTGAGAAATGTTTGGGTGAAAACACTAGATTTTAAGGTATAGTAATAAATAATACCTCAGACTAAAGTTAGGATAATATAATTGACATTGCTGGATTCCTTTGCAAGACCAGGAATATTTTGAATATAAACGTCATTTATTTTGCACAAAAGATAAAATTTTGGCTTTTCGTAATCAAAATTCTTACATTAGATCTAAAATTTGTATGTCTAATGCAAATTCCATGATATTTATATTTAAAATACAGTCATGCGCCGGTTAACGTCCGACCGAACAACGTCCAATCGCATAGACTTCTGTGCCCCCCCCCCAGAAAAAAAAAAACCATGATACCTGCTGGACCACCACTCCACGACCCCCTGACGGAGACACGATGATCCTCCCCATACTGGTCAGATATTATGTGTTAAAGGAATATGCTTCATTTTTAGGCTTTTTTTAAGCATTTGCCTACAGGTGAAATGTTAACCTACATCTATTGAGGATAAAATCTTTCACCTACAAATTGACAATACAGTCGACCCTCGTTAATTCGGACCCCTTTAATCCGGATTTCAGATAATCCGGACAAAATCTGAACTTTTTTTTTTTTTTTTTTTTTTTTTTTTTTTTTTTTTTTTTTTTTTAGATTTGTAAGAATATTACCTACACGGACCTTAAGCTAAAATGCTGGTCCACCCACTGCTGGGATAAAACATCAGTGTCTTTTTGGTTAAATGTAACATCACCACTAGTGTGGGGGGGGATGCAACTTTTAGCTTCTGACATGAAAAATATTTACCATTTACTGCCAGTAAACAATGGAAACGTAAAATATATACCAATTAGTAATGAAAAGTTGTGCAGTTCCTTCAGCAAATGAAGCTCACCAACTTACAATAGGCTAAATTACCTTACAACGTGTTTTCAGTGGTCTATGTTGAAGTTCTTAGCACAGGCTAACTTATCATATCATATATGGTATCACAGTTCTCATTGATCTACAAAAAATACCGGTAATAAAAACCTTTTCGATATTTCACACTTAATATAATACCCGGTAATCTACTTCAACCTCCTATTGTTTACAACGACACATGACGCACCACCAGCTGTTGCGTCAGCTAGACGGTACACGTGTTTTTCGAATCGTTTTCAGTTAAAAAACTGTTACATCACATGTATATTTTACCTTAACTGTGCCTGAATGAATATACAGTCAACCCTCACTTTACGCGGTTAATTCAACCCACGGCGGCCCGCGTAAAGTGAGAAACTCGTAAAGTGAACAACATAACATATGGGATTAATTGAAATAGAGACCGGGCCGACCCCCAAACTCCACTTTTTCCCGACACAATACGTACGTTTTACTAAAAATAACATCTTAACTTTATGATGGTATTCACCCACACATAATATAGAAAGGAACAGTCAATAAACTGAAGGTTAGGTTAGAAAAAAACAAGGTTGGGGTTAACACTTAAGTTAGTAGAAGAGATGGGTCGGCGTACGGGAATGGAGGCTGGTTCCAAGGCAGAAGGCAGACTACTGGCCCTCAGGTGAGTCACCATCACTGTCATCCACACTTGTCAGGGCCTCCCTGACAAATCCCTCAAAGTCATCATCACTGTCTCTACCTCTGTCACTATCATTGGCTTGGGCTGGCTGTGGTGGGTTGCGGGCGAAGAACTCTGTTATGCTTTGCTGACGGCTGGTGTTTATGTTGTCGTGATAAACCTTGATGTAGGGCTCCATAGTCTGCAACAGCTGGGTAGTGAAGATTTCACACCTGTTTGCATCAGGGTCGTCGGAAAGGAGGAGCTTGACTTTCTCGATACACTCGATGGCACCCCTAACTATGGGATAAGCGGCATTCTTCTTGGGATGACGCACCACCTGCCTCTTCACTGACATCATCATCTACCATCTCGTCGGTAGTCACATCAGGATCCCTTATCACCTCCAGGATGTCGTCATCGGTGGTCTCGAAGAAGCCTGCAGCTGTAACACTCTGCGCAGCTTCTCTGGCAAGGTCCACTGCTACTGCAACAGTCTGAACCTCACCAGTCACAAATTGACTCTGCCTAACGGCCGGAATGCCTTGCAACACATGTCTCCATGCGTGACGAACAGTTGCTACAGACAGCTGATCCCATGCCTCCACCAAGAAGTCCACAGCTTTCTTGATGTTGAATATTCTCCAGAATTGTTTT